GACAGACCTTAATAGCACTTTTGCAGAATTGAATCCAGTGATTGACCTAATTTTAGACTGTATCTTGCCCCAGTTTCATGCCAATCAGTGCCTTATCCTTTATGCAGGCTTTACAAATGTTTCTTCAGATACTATATGCCACTATTTCCTATTTTATTTTACTTTTCTTAGTCTTTACCCTAGGACACTGATCCCTTTTTGATAGGGTGAACCTTGCAAGCCCAGCTGTAAATTTTGGTGGTGTTTCAATGACACATTTTTGTAAGGTTTTATGAGAAAGATCAAAGTTACAAAGAATATCTTCCTATAAAGACAGGTGTTATCCATTCTCTGCAGAAACACATCACAGGTACAGAAAAGGTTGAAGATCATAATAGGTTCTCTTACCCAGGTCAGTGGAACATGGCAACATGACTCCATACAAGTAAGCATGACCCATTGCTTGAAACATATTCTCTCGCGTTCAGTCAAGACCAGCTACTTTATATATAATCTCAAGTGTTTCTACCCAACCTTGTTGCATTCTCAGTCTCTTTCTAACACTGTTTTTCCTGTGCTGGCTTAATTCCTTCCTATGTGGTATTTCTTAACATTTTAATATCTTTTTGATAAAAAAATTCTGAAAAGAAAAAGAAGCCAGGTAATCTAGCCAAAGTCAGACAGACATAAATTTCTCAATTACTACTTCTTGCAATTCTCTCTTACTAAGTCTTGGTATTTCTATATGATATCTTATCCGCGATAATTGTTTTTGCTAAGAGAGTTCTATCCAGCAAGCCAGAATATGTCAGCCAGATAGAAGAACACAAAGTAATTATAAAATGTTACGGATATTTCCTTTGAACCCCACAATCAATAAATGTTTTCATACTATCGCGATATAATAATACAAGAATAATGTGATTAAGTTCTCAACTTCTTCAATTCTTAACAAGGTAATACTGTAATCCAACAATAATTTCCAATTGATAATGAAGGAAATGCAATTTTTTGTATGATTTGTTATATCTCTGCTGTGATCCTGTGAATTAAAAGAGAAATTGAGATTAGGAAAGTTAAAAAAATTGACAAATAGAAAGGCTCATTGGGTAGCAAAATGAGGCAGCAAAATTCTGAAACCAAAGTTGTTATATTTAGGTGCATCCTAATTTAAAACAAACTCTTTTCTTGCTCATTAGAGTCCATAGTGGTTGCTGTCTTGACAGTAGAAAACGCTGTGGTACTGCTGTCTGATTAATAACTTCCATTTGCAATCTGGGTGTTGCTGACTACAATAGAATAATTTTCAAAGTGACTCTAATGCTGTGCGATAAATGGATGGATTTCATGAAGAAGGCTTGATCTACAGATAGTGCTGGCTACAGAGAAATTGCTGTGTCTTGTTTTGCTATTACTAAATTTCTTTTAAATTTACATTCATTTTTCTTTATACTTTTATATTTTCCAGTGTCTTATATGCTTCTGTATGGTTCTTGCATAAGTATTTGTCTGACATCACTAACATTTCAGCAGGAACTGCTGAAGATTACAAATGTTAATGGGGGTTAAAAGCTAGGTAATATGTTTACTGGCTTATCTCAACCCCTTGTGTGTGCATATTGATATCCAGCTTTAATTTTTTATTTTTATGATGTTTTTCAAGAGTAATCAGTTTGATATTTCACTAGTTTACAAAGAATGGGCTATGATCCTCAAATTCCAAACCCAAGTCTGTTCCTAGACTGAATGGCAAGTCTGTATGCCAAAGGCTCCTCAGCTCTGAGCATACACCAGTTTATTCCTTACAGGAAACTCTCAGAAAATTTACTGAACTGTTAGCTCTTTAACCAAAGGAGATAATACATAAATAGTGGGAAATAGATCAAAATTTTATCTGTGTTCTGGTCTCTTTTTGAGGAAAGCAGAACCAGTAAAATAAAGCAGGAAAAAATGAACCCAAATAGAGAATTTTTTTTTCCCCAAAAAAAATGGTAAGTATTAAACATGTGAAAGCTGATAACTACACTTAACTTAAGTATAAATAGGAAAATATTTCTGGTTTTTTATGTTATGAATTTTGTGTTTGGGAACAGGAAAGACCTGATCAGTAGCAACAGGAACTGAAAACTCTGCACAATACTGTCTGTCAGTATTTGGCTAGAGTTATAAAAGTTGAGAAATTCCTGCTAAACACTTTTCTGCAAATTTAGATGTTAATGTTACACTAAAATTTAATTACTAGACATCTCTGAAAATCATGCTGTAGATTAATTACAAATAAATACAGATACTCGCCAACATGCCTAGGTTAGGAGCCTTGGTGCTCTATGCTCCCATTATACCAAGTGGAAAATCAGAAGTTCTTTTAAGTCTGATTTGATCTCTGGAGATGCCTCTCGCTTTCTCTGTTGACCACAAAGGAAATTTTGGTGAAGCTTCAAACTTTCAACCTTCAGTAAAGCATTCAGAGTTGGCCAGGAGAGTGCCTGAAGTAATTTTAGTCTTGTTTCTCTTTATGATTGACTGCATAATATAACTTAATTGCTGTATCATGTTCTTCATCATATAAAAAAACATTTTGGAATTGCCATTTTATATTATACTTGTCATGTGAATTACCTAGATTTAAAAGTGATTTTAATGATAATACATGATACCATGTGGTTCTCAGCAAGTTTTGTGTTGAATGTTTAGTACAACTGTGTTGACATTCTGACAGACTTGGTAAGAGCTGCTAGTAAGGAGTCTTGTTGTTGGTGAATCTGATTCAGTTTAAAGCAGGTCACAGATCTCAGTCACACTTCTGGAGATCATCCCGATTTTATTCTCTGAGCTAGCTTCGTTTATGGCTGGCTTCCAAAGCAGCATACTGGAGTGAGAGTTCAGAAGATGCAAACTAGGAAATACGAAGTAAAGAACTGAGAAGGCACTATGCTGCTAACATGTGATCTGTACTTTGCTAGCAGTCCTCTGGTTCAGTTCCTGACATTGTCCCTTGTGAATAACAGCAAATTAAATCATTATAAAATTGATATAATTGTTTATAGGAACAAAGATCCTCTGTCTATTCTGGAGTTCAGTGTGTCTATTATCTCTGCCATCCTCTTAATAAAGAGAAGCAGCTGACAAGTAATGTGCTAAATATGACAAGCAGGAGACTGCAGTTAATAAGATTCAGTACTTTACTTGAGTTCAGAGAAGGCAAGTGACAAACCCTGGATAACTTCCTTTTCCTTTCCACTTAAAAATACCTACCAGTGGTACCAGCCAATATTAAACACGTCCTTTCCTGAAGCGTATCGTCATGTGGAAAACAACTTAGATCTATAGAGAAATAAGTACTAGATTTAGTAATATCCATTTATCCATAGCAGTAGGATATACCCTACTATTCGCACTGTAGTACCTCAGTAACAATTCACAGAATAAAATCTGAACTTTTAAACATCAAGTTTCAGTGCTAACATTTGCAAGGACATATTGGTGTTTACTGCCATCATATTTGATTGTCTACTTACTCAAATCTTCTAGTACAAATAGTAATATTGCAAGTCAGCAAATTCTGGAAAGTTCTTCTATTTGTATTGGCTGAAAAAATTCTCTGAAATAGTATTTGGGCACGAATCATTAGAACTATGTAGTAATGACATTAACATAAATTTTCTGAATGATGTTATCATAAATTATTTTCCACATTTTTCTGAATGTCTTTAAAAGTCTGATTGTTCCCTCACTATGGTATTGGTTTCAGCACACACAATTACTTAAAAGGAAACAGTTTAAAAAATCTACCAGCAACAGCTACATCTTTTTGTTGTTGCATTTGCTGCTTGTTTTCATTACCCCTCAGGTATATTTATTAGGTAGAAAATTTATAGCATGTGTTTCTCAAACAAGTGTTTGAGAAAAATGTCTGTCTCATAACAGTACTTAAAAATACTTTGCTAAAAGACCATGAAATATAATAGCAATGAAGAAGGTCATAACACTTGTTCTCCTCTTCTAGAATGCATAGTAAATCTTTTGACATGCCTTCCCATTCTGCTTTTTTTCTGTGCAGTAGCCTTTATAATTATTGTTAATTGTATCACAATCTATGCATTAGCTTCAGTCCTTTAGTGAAGTACAGTATTTGTAACACTGAAATCCCATTTTTGAGTATTTTTCTTCTTTCTTATTTCCATATTGGAGCTTGAATTTATTTATTTATTTTTTTCCTTGTTTACTCCTTCCTAGACCAGTCTGTTGCTTTGGGGGTTTTGGTTTTGTTTTTTCATTATATTTCTTATTTCATCCATCAACGAACAAATTGTTACTTGTTCTTTACCCCTTTTCATGCCTGAGTTATTAGCTGACATGTTTATTTTCCAGACCAGCTTTTAAAATTTGTTTTCCTTCCTTTCATTTATAAATGATATAATCAATTATTTATACATTATTTCCCTAGTGAGTCCTAGAAGAATATTTGATTGTCCTCAGATAAATCATGCCACAAGCAAAGATCTCTCGGGCAGCTGACACCAGTTAGCCCAGCCAGTTTTTAACCTCTCCTGAGCCTTGACATGTCTAAGGACAGCCAGCAACTGCCTGAATATCGTATTGCTCAGTGAATGAAACTGATGCTTTGTACAAGCCCATTTGCCCTGCATTGTTTTGCCTCTTACATATGCAGCCAGAAGATAGCCTGGGCAAAAAAGTCTGGCTATGAAAGAAATACAATCTAACTTCAGCTGTGTAGTAACCTTCCCTCGACATGGCTCAGCACCCATAATTCAACAGGGCTCTAATAGTCACATTGACATTCATACCGCCTGGCTAAAATTAGAATGCTGTCCACACAGAACTTGTCCAGTTTTCTTCCAGGCAGAAATGAAGATACTTCTGTATTCTGAAGTACAAGCCTTTTGCATTGTTACTAATAATGTCCCATAGCTGTTCATTTTTTAACTGAGGAACTAGTTTTATGAGTAGATGACATACTGTCTTCTAGGCTCTAATTAAAACTTATTTTTGGTCCTTAGGTGTAATGTCTATTCTTCTGAGATGAGCTCTTAATTAATGCACAGAGATCCTGAAAGTCCCACCTCTCAACAGTAATGATTGACATCCAAGGATACATAAATTACACTAATTGAGCTTTCCATTTATACAGTTTTCTGCAGCCAACTCATCAGAAAAGGTAGGAGAACAAACCAGCATAAGAACGGTTATTTTTCTGTCATGTGTATTTTCCTGAGGGGGAAAGTCTTGCAGAACTAGTGAGCAGTTATTACCATGAGTGTCAACTCTTCAGGTTTCAGAAGTAACGTTTGCTTTACTATGAAAATCAGCATTTTTAATTCCATAATGTACAGTTGAATAATAAGACAGTATTCACTATTGAAAAACAAGCATACCTGACAAGTCAGTGCTCAATGCTTTGGATTGCTGCTAGTGTTGCATAGCAATAGAGACTTTCTGAACAGAAGTTGTTTGGTAAGGAAATTAGATACTTCACTGTGCAAGTAGTGTTTTGTCTGTAAATGTTCTCTTAATTCCGATCCACAGTCGGAAGCGGTGACTTTCTAGTATTTGTTAAGCAGTCGCTCATTTCTAGGATTCAATTTAGCATTTAGTTTAACTGTATTATTCTGGAGTCAGTTAAGATGAAGTCACTGAAGTCACTGAATAAAGTCTAATGTTCTCATCCAAGCTGAAGTCCATTGAAACAAAAAGTACCGGTAAGAACATGGTTGATGGAGGGGAACAAAACGCACTAGAATGTATCAGAGAAAGATTTAGCAGATGAATTTCATTGCAGATGATACATAGGAAGTACTACAAGCAGCCAAGGGAAAAAAAAAAAACAAACCTGGAAATGAGGCCAAATGTAAAGTTTTATCTATGTTTTAAACAGTAATCCGGGTTACAATAATATCTTATTTGGTCTTGGAAATCAGCTTTTGTCTGACCTGTTTTTATTTGACTGTCTGGGTAACAGAACACTTTAAAATGAACTTATTTATTCCTTATTTATAACTTTAATTTCTGGTGACTTATAACAAATTTCAAAGTGAAAATGGAGCTCTTAAAATGGACATTAGACTTTCGTGACAGAAATCTGTCCAGTTTCAGAGTTTGTTTTAAACTTATCTGGTATCTATACTCTTTTCTAGAAATAGGAAGCATTCACAGTATGGGGGGAGGGGCACCCAAACATATTTGAGATGATATTTTAGGATTATAGAAATGGAATAGAAACAGATCTAGCTGTTTGTATCTAGATGAAAAGTGAATAGATCTATGGGAAAGATGTAAACATAGATATATGTGTGGGCTAGGGACTGTTTAACTGCTGAGATGTTTTACTCTTCAACTGAAGTACGAAAGCTATAGAGAAATGTATTGAAAGGAAATCTAAACCCAGGATTGCATAAGGCAGGTGCTGGACAGAGGGAGGTCCCATCAAAGCAGTACACTGACTTTGTAACATCCCCTTTGTGTCCAACAAGGTTATGAATTTCCTGTGCAAGACTACAGAAGCAAGCAAACTGGGAGTATGGGAGCAGAGTGACTTAGAGTCCAGGCCTTTGTATTTCTTCCAATAAAAGTATGAGGACAAAATGAAACAAGACTTAAATTTAGAATTAGAAGAACAGAGATATAAGTGGAGGCTAGGGAAAAAAAGGGAAATGAAGTGTAAGAAAAATGGCGTTTGTAAATGCCCTTCGTATCTGGAATAACTTCATACTTTTAGGATTAGTGCAAAACTATTAGTATGGGTGTTGGGTTTCTTTTTTATGGGAATGTAATTTCATCTTCCTTGTGATATAATTTTTGTCCAAAGCAACCCGATGCAAACTTTTATGTTGCATGAATAGAGGCATAACAGGTATTAAGTAATTTTTTTCTCTTTATTACTGGGCACATGGAAAGAACATGCACTTTAATTTGGTTACTTTGAGAAAGGTGAATTGTTTAAAACCCAAATGGTTTGGTAGAACCAAAATGGTTTAATTTGCTAAGAAGAACAAAGATGCTTCTGTACAACATTATACAGCCACTGCGTGTCAAGGTCTGACTTTATTATCACACCTTCAGAATCTGTTTTTTATACTTCTGAAATGGCAAAAGCTCACTGTAAGTTTCATAGGCTGTATATATGTGGAAATACCTAGTAACAGGAAACATATGCATACACTGAGCATTGGCAGCTGTTTCAAACTGTAGTTAAAATGTATTTTGTGCTAATTCAAAATAATAGTTCTAGCTATAGTACCAGCTTTGAAGACCATAGCAAATGTTGGTTAAACTGAGGGCAATGTTTGTCTCTTGCTTATGATAATCAATTAGACATAAATGATAGGTATTTCATTTTGAGTAGTTGCAACAATAAATTATTCTTGGGATAACATGGTGGAGCCTAGTCTCCTTTGGCTTTTGGAACCTGTAAAATAACAGAACATCAGTCAAGTTAATAAAGTGTGCCCTTATTACACATTCTACATCTGTACCTGAACTGCCAGCATATGATCAAAGACTGCAGCTGTTTCAGTTATATCACAATCACATCATAGGCATTTTATAGTTATAACAGAGATAGAGTTCCAGGGACAACCCGGTCACCTTACAGACATACAGAGTTCAGTTGAACCTCATTAAGTTGCACCTTGGTATTATATGAAACTGGTAGGACATCTATTAGGTATCATATGTAATTTCTGTGTAAAAATTGTTTTGTGTGCATTTTGTAGGCATTGCCTTTATGTCTTATCAAGTAATCCAGGCTTTGTTCACACAGAACTTCAGAGTTCCATGCTTGCTTAGTTTAATTTTGAATTCGTAGTTGCCAAAAGTAAAAGATTACTCATAGCCTAATGGCTGTTTTGTATTGCATGCTGGTCATGCAAAAGCATTAAAAAACTATCTAATATTAATTAAAATAATTATAATGTAAGCTGGAATATAAAAATGTGTTTTCATAGCTGTTGACACATATTTCCATTTCACCTTGTGGATGAATGTTTCCCTGAAGTCAGTGAGATTTGGCATTGGCATTTACAAATGTAGAATTTCACCTAGTCATTCTTTTACTCATAATCAGATGTGTTTTAATAACAATGGATTACCTTTTCTATATTATCACTTCTCAGTATGAAAAATACTAGAAAGGGAGAGATCTTATTAAGAAAGTGATTCAAGGAGTAATTCCTGAGAAATGTGTTGCAAGAATTGCTTAATGTTGAACACAGATGAGTTAATATTGCAACAAAATTGAACTGTCATCTTCTTTGTCTGGGATTTTAAAGACAGTATAAGCTCACCTTTGATGTTGGTTTAGTTCCACATTAGAATTCACCATGTTAGTATATCTTTACCATTTAGGTAGCTGAGCAGTACAACAAAATACAGGCAGACAGCTAATCTGATATTTGAATCTGAGTATTTTGCTAATTTTTTGCAGGAATTGTGAAGCAAAAAATCCCGAGTTTACTTAAGAAACCGGTCTAAAAAAAAAATGCACCTTTGTTTTCTTAGCCACTCTTCCTAAACATACTCACACTTCACAGTTAAGGAAAAATATGTGTATTTGTCCTGGTATTTTCCAGTGCATGTACAAAAAAGAATAGGTTGTAAAACAAAAATATGTTAGGTGGGATAATAATCTATTATGGTAACAGTCAAATTGCTTGTCATGTCATGAAGGGTTATGCTTTAATTAAGCAGTAAGGCATGACAGGGTGTGAATTACAATGTAATAATTCTTGTCTAGTGTATTGTTAGGCAAAAGGCCAAAGGCCTAGTGCCAGTGAGTTCTGCAGGAATGAATTATTATGCTATAAATTAAACAATGCGGTATCATATTGAAATAATTGCAAAATATTAAATTTTAAATTAAAGAAATACAAATTATAATTTTTATGTACCTAATTACTCCACCAATACACTACTTTGTTGCTAAGACTATCACAGAAAAGAGAGATTTCTATTTAGTATTGGATTTAGATTTAGGTGGCAATTAAACTCCAAAGACCATTGGTTTTGGAGATCTGAAGTGTACTATTTTAATACCATTTTTCCCAAAATAAACAAAGAAAGACATACATCTCTGAGGAACAATATTCCATAAATTCTTTCTTTTCATCGAACAGAACTGGTGTACAACTCTTACAGATCTTTGTGAAACTCCTCTTACCTGGGAGCCTCGCATCTAGAGGAGGCTTTGCTGTTACCTTTATCTTTTGAAAGCACAATTTTTCTTCTTCCCATTCAGAAGAGACACATCATTTATAAAGCCCTTCAAAGTTATCAATTTATCTTTCAGAATAATTGTTTTTGAAAAATTGAAGTGTTCATGGTTGGTTGGTTTTTGGTTTGTTTTTTTTTCCCCCCGGTCATCAGAGAAGTTAACAGGAAGACAAAACCACAGGATTCTGAGAGCTCCTGTTATATTTTTCTTCTACAAAGCATAAAAGCAAAGATACTAAATAATTGGAAATGTTGAAAAAAGTGATGAGCTCTGATATTTTTCCATCGGTTATATGATACAGGTATAGCAAAACCTATGTAGTCAAGTCTTAAAATGCATGATGTTTACCGCTACTACGAAGTCATACCTTACTATCCATTTTGTGAAGTTATTTCACATTCTACATGTATGACTGAAAAAGGTTCAGCAGGTTACATTCCTTAATTGACATCTGTGTGCAGTTTCCTGTTTGAAAAAAATTAGAAGACTTGTCCGTTGGTACGTTTGTTTGTAGTTAAGCACCAGTCAGGTTAGTGGTCTCAAAAGCAAAAAAAAAAAAAAACCAAACAAAGCAACCAACCAACAACAAAACCCAAACAAACCTATTTCTTAGTTGTGCAATTCAATAGAGGTGGGTTTTCTCTCATTATTGTACGTTGCTTTTTTGGCAGTGGTGTAAATCTGTATAGCTTTGAGAAGCCACAGATCTGCTGTACAGTATCACTCCAATCTAAAGGGCTTTTTTGTTGCATTTTCATGTTCAATCTGAGGCTTTCTATTGTCTGATGTACTGTTGAATATCAGATATGGGATCAATTTGCAAGTTTCCATTTGACTTCTTAGTTGATTAAAGCTTGCTGTCCTTAAGTAAAACCAGTTGTCTGATCACATTGCAATTAATATACTACTTCTTAGCATTGTAATATTTACTATGGTAATGCTAGCAAACAATGTTTGATTTTTTTATTTTTTTTTTTTGATATCTCTACTATACCTGCAGGCCTCATGTAAGAAAGGGGCTAGTTTTTAGATGGGTACATGAATAAAGGGACAATTTTTTATTTATTTTTTTTCCCCATAACACTTGAATTACAAGTAAATTTGCCTTCAAAGGATTCTTTGTACACTGAGAAAATCTGTCACTATGACAGAGTTCACAGGAGGAAACAATTGGTTTTGTTTTCACAATAGTTGAATAGCTTCCTCTTCTTCCTAAGCACAATTCATCAAAATTAAAATATATTGCACCTCTGGTATGGTTTTCCACAGCCAGCTGAGGAATTTTCTTTTGGTTTCATAGTGATTAAGAGGGCATTTCTACTTGTTAGCTTTTAGCAAAGGGTTGTCTTTAATCTGGGACTGCAGCCTAGATAAGTGGTCACAGCAATTATTGAGCACTAAGGCATTTTTAGTGCCTGTAACTCCTATAAACTGATGTTTTGACTTACTTTCTCCATTTTTCTAATATACAAATTTGTATAAATACTGCATAACTTTAGAAGAAAGTAAAGTAGCAATAAAAAATGTTCAGGGCAAAGGATAATAAACTGCAACTGGAAGCTTCTGTTTTTCGAAATAGTAATGCTTTAGCGATTTGATTAGCAATGACATATTATATGACAAAAGAAGAAAAAGGATTTAGAAATGGAAACTAAAAATAGTTGTGTGGTAATTTAATAACCTGGCAGATTTTATTCCATCTGTTAGGAAGAGTTTGAAAGCCATTTCCTGCTGCCACTCACACCACAGAAGCTTCAGAGTTCAGAGATGGAATCAAATACCTGATGTGAAAATCTGCTGTTATGATTCATATCCAAAGATTCATATCAATATCCTTGCCCAGAATACTGTGTGGGGTTATTTAAAAAAAAATAAAAATTGAATCTTAAAAGTTTAGGTTTATTATTTATCTCATTGTGAATGCCACACATTCACAATGTAGAGGGAAAAGGACTATAAATACTCATCCCTTTCAATTTATGAAAATTGTTGGAATTATTCTGTGTGACCGGACAACTCAGGAAACCAGATTTCTCAGATAGGTGGTCCAGTATTAAAAATTTCATGAATTTACTTTCAGGGTGACTGTACCGTGGCAGTGAACTGACCTCTATTCCTATACAGCATTCATCAGTGAATTGGGGGAAGAGAAAATCAAGTCTAATTATGTGGACAGAAGGTATGAAGGAGCATGCATAGTGCAAAGCTCTAGCTGATGAGCTGGCCTTCTAACCCACCAGAAATAAGTGCTGGCATGAGCTGTGTTCTGGTGAGGGGTTAGCTACAGCAACCCTCATGTATCTGTATACATCTGGTAGGGTACTATATTTGGTTATTTCTAGATGAAATTTTACAGGTGTGTGATAAGTTTAAGAAAATGTTAGTTTTTGCCTTTAATAATAGAAAAGATGTAACACTCCTTGCAGCGGCCAGGTGAAGGGGAGCAAACACCGACACGATGTACATTTGCAAAAAGCTCCGTTTATTGCTTCCAAGGCTGCTATTAATATAGTGCTTTGAGCTCCCTTACACGCGATCACGCACTACTTGATTGGCTGCCCCGCTTCGTCCATGAGGTGTCCACGCGCCGCTATTCTTTTTATGATTGGGCCTAGGTGTTTGTGTTAGCTTGGCATTATAACCTGTTTTGCGGTTACTGGTATCCTGTTATTGCATTCCTATTTTGCTGATTTTGACATTGCTTCTTCTCCTGACTCGGGGTTATAAATTCATATTCTCACAGCTTGCTGTAGACCTGTCCGACTGTCCATGCTC